ATTTATCGTGAAACAAAAGCAGGTGGTGGTGGTCCATTTAATATTCTGAAAGATTTACGTTCAATGGATGTAAATTTACCATTATCTATTGTTGGTTTATTAGGTAATGATGATAATGGTCAATGGTTAATCGATGATTGTCAAAAATCTAATATTGATATTGATCAATTACATACAACTAAAGATAATACACCAACATCATATACATATGTAATAAGTGTTGAATCAACTGGTCGACGAACATTTTTTAATCAACGTGGTACTAATGCATTACTTACTGATATTCATTTTGATTTTAATTATTTAGTTAATAAAAAACATTATAATTTATTTTATCTTGGTTATTTAACAATACTTAATGAATTAGATCGAATTATTAATAATGAAACAATTGCTGGAAAAGTACTTAAACAAGCAAAAAGCTATGGTTTAGAAACAATAGTTGATTTTGTTACTGGAAAAAATTTATTGTATTCAAAAATTGCATTATTAACATTACCTTATGTTGATCATTTAATTATTAATGAAATTGAATTAGAATATATTCTTGATCAAACATTACAACAAGCAACTATTAAACAAATTGAACAAGCTGCAAGAATATTAATTGAAAAATATCATGTACAACGTACAGTTACTATTCATTTTGATTGTGGTGCCGTTTGTATTAGTCGAGAAGATGATCAAAGATTAGAATGTTTTATACAAGGTTCACTTTGTCTTCCCGAAGGATTTATTAAAGGAGCTGTAGGAGCTGGTGATGCTTTTGCAGCTGGTATTATTTATGGAATTTATAAAAAATGGCCTATACAAGAAAGATTATCTTGTGCTGTTTGTGTTGCTGCAATGTGTTTAAGTGATGAAACATCTTATACTGGTGTGAAAAACATTGAAGAATGTATGAAATTAAAAGAAATATTTCAATTTAGAATTTTGGATACAACATCATGTATTAATGATATTAAATAATAACAACAAGATAGACTTAGCTAATGTAAAAATTTAGTAAAAAAAAACAAAATAAAGAATTTTTTAATTAATGTTTTACTATAATGGTTTAAATTGAAGAATCAAAATGTTTAATATTGAAAATTAACATTGACATTTTCTACTTGTTTGATTTTTTAATTAAAGTTTTGTTAGTCTTTATTAATATTATTGTATTCGTTAACTGTTTTCTTTTTTTTTGATTAACATAAATTATAACTCGTAAGACAAACGTATTGTGTATGATATAAACTAAAATAATGTTAGTGACAGTTAAATGAAAAATTTTTGTTGCAAAATTTATTTCAATTTCATTCTGTTTTAAGATTTTTAAATATTCACAATGCGAGAATATTGTTCTCACATATACAACTCATATTTTAGTCTCTAAATTGTTTTATTAGAAGAAAAAAAACAGAGTATATCACAAGATGCAGCGTGAAAAGTTGTACAATTTACAAAGTAGAATTTATTTTCATTGTGTATATTTTGTTTTCAAAATAAGCAAAATTATGTGTGAGTGATTTTCAATATTGTGAGTATAATCATTTTGTTTTTAATGAATGATCAAGTCACTTTTTTGTGTCATCAATGGAAAATAATTTTATTCGTTGAAGAAAAAGGAAATATAAACTAAAAAAAAAATTAAGTATTCGGTAATTGATAATAACTATTGCCGCTTTGTATCACTATTTGCTTTGTTCTGATTGATACAGATGCATACTATGATTTAAATATTCTTTGATATATTCAACACTTTTTTTTTAATAGCTTTTTATTCATAATCTCTGAATAATCTTTTGGTAGGATAATTTTAATAACAAAAAATATGTTTTAATTTGTAAAAATACACGTATCTTAGAAAAAAAAAAGTCTATTTGTATTTAATTTCGATATTGCTAAAAAACTTTCTGCCTATTATTTCTTTCAGTTAAAGATTTTTACTGAAAAAAGCTATTATCTCTTTATTATAAAGTTTTATGGGCAATTTTTTGTTACGATCAGTTTTTGATCGCCAAATTTTGATAGATACACTCAATGCATGAAATTTCGATTTTTTTAAAGCGTCAATTAGACCATTGTTCTCGGGTTCATTAATATCGAACTTGTTGTTTAAAAAAAAAAGACATGATTGTTAAATATATATGAATAGATCGAATATAGAAAATATGACTAGAATAAGAAAACAGAAAAATTAGTATCTTACACAAAGAAAAACATTAGAAAGCTAAGTGTCAGTAATATGTGCGAAAATAAGAATATAGTTTTTCTGTAATACTTTGAATAAAATCGAATCTAAATGAAGATTTTCGCAGTTATTTTACTCTCGGATAAAAAAAACAAGCATCATAATATGACATATAGGTATGAAGAATAGATGAGGTGTTGGAATATAAATGTTATTTATTTATGAAATATTTTTTTCTAAATCTTCTACGAAATAATGTATCATTGAAAAAGAAATATAACAGAAGTTTCTATCCATTAAAGTTGTTTCTTCTTTCTTTTTAAGAACGGATCAATATATAAAAGAAATAAAATTTTGAAGAAGGTCATATTTTTATTGAACAAAAAATACAATATTATTTGAAATTATGTGAAAAATATTTTCTTAGATAAATTCAGAAAATAAAAATGAAATATTTTTCTTTTATTGATATTACTTTTAAAATCAAATCAGATTTATTCATTTTTCGTGATTTATAAGTAAGAATCTTAGATAAAAAGTTGATATTTTCATTTAATAGAAACATCTTATTTCGAATTCAAATTATAGTCAATGTTGTCGAGGTCTTTAGATTATTATAAGATTAGGTTAATTGCTGATAAAAAGCTTTTATGATCTTTAATCAATGCACTTGAAACTGCAGAGAATATATGAGTTGATTATTGATATAAATGTGGTTTCATAACTATAATACTTGTCAGTTGAAATACTCTCTAGACAATATAAAAAAAAAAAAGGTAAATTTATTTTCGATCTTCTTTTTTCTCTTCTTGATGAAAGCTTTTATGTAAAAGACATCACAGGAATTAATAGAATTTCTAGAAAATATTTTTTTTCATTAGTTTCTTGAAATCTTCTTATTTCATTGTCGTATGAGTTAATATTTCTCCGTTTGATTTTATTTATAGTAAAATGAAAAAGATTTATATTACAGTAATAAATGGTCGAGATATATGATTTATAATTCTTCAGTTGTATAACGTACAATAAAATACTCTCAATATTTAATCAAGAAATATCTAGTAGATACTTTTCTTTCTTGATTTAGAAAATTCGTTAATCAAAATTTATGTTTAATAATTTTTAAAAATCCAAAACAAAACATTGATTTCGTTATTCAAAAATATTCAATGTACATTCAACGATGTTATGAGAAAAAAAAAACAAGATGAACATACATTTTTTTAAGAGGTTTATTTTGCTTATTGTAATAGCTTTGTTGGAATTATTTACACTTCTACTTTCTATAAGAAATAAAAAGATACACATGTCAAAATGCCATCCGAATCATTCAGAAAGAGTATCGAACATCTAAACTTAAATTTTGTGACTGGCAAATAATTCCGCTTAGTTTTTAAACATATTGTTTACTAATTCATTATGAGCTTGGCAATCTTTGGCCAAAAATATGATTCGCGCATCCGACATGTTTAGTTCAAATTGTCATAAATCCGTAGACATATTGTTGTAGTTTATACAGCGTCGGTTAAGGTGACAAATATTTTGCTGTTTTAGTATGTAACTAAGCTTTTTGTTTTACAGACATTAAAAAATCAGAAACAAAGAAACATTCTCTCCTTCTCGCGTCATACACTGTGACAGATGCGTTAGCAACCTCTGTTCTTTGCATCACAGACACCTTAGCAACACTCTCCACTTACGTCACAAACCATGACAGATGCCATAGCAACGTCCTCCCTCATCTTGATAAACATTGTTGATATCTGATTAAAGATCGTATATCAATAAAATATCGTTCTAATATATGAATTAATTTCTTATTGCATCTCTGGAAAATTTCCTTTTCTTTTTCTTTTTTACTGATATCAAAAATCAGAAACAAAGAATGATAAGTTTGAGTGAATTCATCTTCAACATATTTCTATGGAATGAAAAAGTCGAATCATCTCTAAACAACGTTTCTATATACAAATTCAAAGTCTTAAAATAAAATGCTCAGTAATAATTTTATCTTACAGAACTTTTCGATTTCTATCGACTGGTTTAAAAGTCAAAAGGTTTTGAATTTAAATTAATAGAACAAAAAATAAATATAATAATTTAATGGTTTTAATAGACATTAATGGTACTTGATAATCTCTGTCGAACAATGCCGTATTTAATATTCTTTTGAGTAATCCAAATTGATAGAAAAACTGTACCATTATTCTCTAAATTCATTAATTTATGTTCATTTTTTTCCTTTAGATAAGTCACAACAGTTAAAAGAAAATTCTGTTATGTCTTTTTGTCGTACAAACAATTGTCTATAAACGGCTACTCGAACTTATTTGTTTTACTTTTTGAAGTCATACGAAATTCGAAAAGGATCGTATGAGTGAGAGTTCATCATATAAGAATTTGTGTTTCTGAATCAAATTAATAGCAACATAAATTTTTATTTATACATGTGTATAGTCTTTCAAGTGATGAAGTAAATTTATGCTGTGAAACATCAATTTATATGATGTCATAGTACAAATGCGACCTTGAAATTACATTATGCACAAAGATTTCAGGGCGATGCTCTTTTCTTTGCGTACACAAAGAAGTGATGAATGTCGAGAGAGGAAAAAAATCAATTTTTTTTTCTTGTGTTCTTTTTACAGATTTACTGTATACCGTTGTGAAGCAAAATCAGTTGCTCATTCATTTCTTATGTAAACTGAAGCGATTCAACATCTTTTAAGCAGAGAAATAACCTAACGACAGCAAGAAAAACCTTTCAATCGTGCTATTTAGTTTCTTTTTGTTTTGTTTTCTAGTATTGTGTTCTCTAGACAGTATGTCGTCAACACCTACTACTTCTGTCAATCCATCATCATCTCGTGTTCAATCAGCTAGTAATGTAGCGAAAGAAGAAACACCCATAGAAAATAATAATGCAACTACAGAAAAAACATCTCGTCCACCATCGGCATTACAAAAACTTCAAACTGATACGTCAACAGCACCAGTAATTGCTACTACTGATAATGGTCTATCATCAGATGTTCCTGTTGCCGAAAAAGAAGAACCAATTTTATCTGATCGTCCACCATCAGCAGCAGTTAAGAATGATCTTACTGTTAATCCAATTCTTGATTCAACAAATACTGAACAAAAGAGTTCAAGACCATCTTCGGCTAATCCAAAAATAGATGAATCAATCTCACATGGATATACTATTAATACAACAAATTCACGACAACCATCAGCAAGTCGAAAAGATGCTGACTCATCTGCAACTGCTCCAATAAGTTCCAGACCACCATCAGCTAATCCAAAAACAAATGAATTAAGTTCACATGGTTATACTATTAATACAAATTCACGACCACCATCAGCAAAAAATAACGATACTGAATTAACTACAGCTGCTCCAATAAATTCACGACCACCATCAGCAAAAAATAACGATACTGAATTAACTACAGCTGCTCCAATAAATTCACGACCACCATCAGCAAAACATAACGATACTGAATCAACTATAGCTGCTCCAACAAATTCAAGACCACCATCGGCAAGTCAAAAAGCAAATGAATCCGTTATAAACAATTCCATTGCTGCTCCAATAAGTTCAAGACCATCATCAGTTAGCCAAAATACAGATATAACAAGATTAAGTAATTCTAGTAATATTGTTACTTCGACAAATTCACGACCACCATCAGCCAATACAAAAACAGATTTAGTTAATACAAATAATCCAACAACTCCACGAATAGGTTCACGACCACCATCAGCCAATCCAAAAATAGATTTAATTAATACAAATAATTCTACAACTCCTCGAACAAGTTCAAGACCACCATCGGCAAGTCAAAAACAAAATGAAACAACTACAAATGATTCGGATATAACACAACCATTCATTGGACGTCCATCTTCAGCAGCTAAAAGGACACCAACCGATGAATCTAAAATTATGATTACTCTTGATGCTAATGCTGCAGTTAATACTCCAACAGAAAATGCACCATCATCTGATGAAAATAAACCAGTCGAACCTATTTCTACTACACCACGTATTGGTTCAGCTTCAAAAAATCTTCAAACATCAACAACTACGGAAAATAATAGTTAACATAAAACGATTAACTTTGACTCTGAATATTTTTTTTTTGCTTAAATATTCTCTTGAAGATCTTTAAAGAAATTTATTCAAGTATAAAGACTTTTATTCATTTTTCTTTTTATTACTTTATTTTATGCATTGCATTAAAAGTTTTCCAAAAAAAAAAAAAAAACGAAATTATTTTGTTTGATTTTTAAATTAATTACCGAATGGAACATGAGAAAAAAAAAAGAAAAAATTAAATATAATACGATCATCTGACAACAAAACGACGATTGTTCTATGCATTCATCATATGTGCTTTTAATTTCGCCATTTTGTGTTCTAAAAAAACATTTTTTTTTAAAAAATCAATATATAAATCTGAATAAATAATTATTTTTTGTTGGTTCTTTACTTCTAACATTGATGTTGCTCGATTAAATGCAGGATGATCATGTGGCATACGTCTACGTAAATTTTCTAATTGTAATCGATCACGAAGAATATTAACAATTGTCTTCAAGTTAATAAATAATTATTAGCAAAATTTCTTTTTAAATTAATTACTTACATCTATAGCTACATCATAATTTTCAAATTTTTCAGCAAAATAAATACGTTTGCCAGGATCAGGAATCATTGTAAGAAATCGTTCAGCTCTTTCACTTGCTTTTTCTTGTCCTTCACCGCTTACTCGTACCCAATTGTAGACCATATCAGCAAGATATTCTGGTGCAATAATATATTTTTTACCAAAAATACCCTAAGAAATAAATTAAAAGTTCTTATACACTTTCTTTATTTGTTTTATCTAATCACTTGATGTATTGCTTGATGAACAAAATCATCATAATGTGATCGTAAACCACATTGCATAATCACAGATAATTTACCACACATAATCATTTCTGGAGACATCTATTAAAAACGAAAATTTTTTTTTTTTTTTAATTTTAATAAATAAGAGAAAAAAGAATTTACATGAAAAGCTGTTTCAAATTCTTTACTTCGATCGAATGTCTATAATAAATTAATAATTAAATAAGTATTAATTAGGAAATGTTTCTTACTGATTTATCAGTATTTCGATTTTGTTTTTGTTTTCGAAAATCTGTTTCATAAACTGTTTTATATATTTCAAGTACTGTTTGATTAGTTTGATTCTAATTTGAAAAAAATATATAAATCAAAAAAGAATTTTGCTATATGAATCTTACATTTTGTAATTCTCTTTGTTTTTTAAGTAAAAGTCGTTGTTCAGCTACTTGTAAATGCCACCATGGATGTGATCCAAGTTCACTAAAAAAAATAAATTTAAATTAATCTAAATATTAATCATAATCATCAATATCGAATATACGTTGCTGCTTGATCTAATATCGCCATTTTAGTATTTATATCATTCGTTTGACTTGCTTGTCGAAGACGTATCATCTTCAATTTTGAATATTCAATTTTTTTTGTTTCATTTAATATCTTTTACTTACTGCCACATCTTCATTTCTACCAAGTTGTCTATTCAAATAAATAACAATTAAAATTTTTGTACCCAATCAGAAAAAGAATACTTCTACATCTTCCAGCTACAGTTCGGCAGTTCAAAAAACAAAACTGGAACTATTAAATCATTAGATGCATACAAAAATTCTTAAATCTATGTCGAGAAGTCTTCGTTTTTTTTTTTTCATTCTTGAAATAAAAGATTTCAGTATATAGGTATTATATTATTTTGTTTAACTATTGAAATATGTGGTGTCTTTAATCGGAACAATTCAATAAGGAAATTTTCTCAAAATATATATTCAAAACTTTTGATTTCGGGTAATTTTTGAAACCATCGAACTCTACGTTTAACTTTTCTGTGGTATAAGATGCTGCCTAGTGATCGAACAACATAGTCACACAGCCATGGTGGATGCCCAAATCAGAGATAGAACTAGTGCGAGTAAAAATTTCAGACCGACCAGTCTAATTTATTTATTTTCTTGGTTTTATTAAGACGAACTTATGTAGGAAATTTTCCTTTTTTAGAATATTGATCACATCAAATGAGACTATCTACAGACTGAACTAGTACGGGTTAGTTTTGGCTATATTCTCTAATTAAGAATAGAACATGTGGGTCATAATCTATCGAATTAATTGTAAATGCAATTTTTCAATCATTGACTATCAATATAAAATATTCATTCAGATTTCAAGCTCTACAAATTTATGTAATTCACTTAAAAAAAATTTTACTTTTAACTTTCGAAGCAACCAACACCGAAGTACACTATATTATCTTTCAAAACTTTGAACGACAGCTTCATGTGCAAATTGAGGATATAATAAATGAAAGAAAGAGCAAACTTTTACATCTACTTTTGGGTCTGCTCGATTTTTTTGTGAATTATGCTTAAAACATGCTGCACTGCAGTTCATCAGTCACGCAGTCTTGTAGATAACGAAATTCTGCATTTCTGAGTGTACTAATAGAAACATTTCAACTCAAAACAAATTGCATTGTATAAAAAATCACTATGAAGAATACTTTCAAGAAATTTTCAGCCAAATAGAGAACAAAATTCTTTGATTTCGAAAATCTCGATATTTTTGCAAGGCACGATCAACGATGTGTCTCAATGAGAATATATTGGATATATAAATGTTTGCATTGTCATACAAAGACAATATGTTTTTAAAAACTTGAAATTTTCGTATCTTTTAGTATATGAATGAATTTAAATGATTCAAATTAATTAATTTAATATAGAATGCTGTTGGATAGGAAATTAAACAAGAAATAATCTGAAATCATAACGTGCATTAGAGAATATGGCTGATGAAGCATACAATAATATATCAACAAATATTATTCAAGAATGTATTTCAAAAAACTTTAGATGTCATATGAAAATTTTGTATATTTGTTTTTAATTTTTATTTGTAGAGAGTGCTCCAAAAGTTATGATCAGTTATTGATTCGTAAAGATCCAGTTCATCCACAATGTAGAAAAGAAAACATTTTCGATTTCGGTAAGTGTATCGAAAAATTGCCTGAGACCTGATTTCTCATACATAATATCACTTTTTTATTTGATACCTCGGTTTTTCCGATAAGATAGAAAATCTTTTCACTTTTTCTCTGCTCATGTTGTTTTGATTGCGCACTCCAAAATTTTCAAAGAAACTTCATTGTAGCGAATGACTCTTTTTATGAAGTTGTAGTGCTTTTTTTTCTTTTGAATTAAGCGTTGTTACTATTACGTAAAAGATTACCTTTATAATTAGATATATTGAACTTTTCTCCGCTTAAAAAAAAAAGGATTCTATCATGGCCTGCATCCTGACGTGCTCTTTCAAACAAACAAAAATTTTTAAGTATGTCCAATGAAGGCTCACAGAGAATATTGGGTTTCCAAACAAACTATTTTTAATCCTCGTTTGTTGAATATCTCCAGAAAACGTCATGGTATAGAACTAAAAGTTTTACTCATAATTAGTTGATTAAATTTCATATGTTTTAAATGTACTTGATTCAAGATCGATTTTTGAAAGGAGGGGAATTCTTCAAAAATTAGACTTTTCTCAATGTCATCAACAATCTGTACGATTTGTTTTTGGTTTGATATATTATTACGAAAAGAAAGCTAGAGAGTCAATTGTAATGTCAAAATGATTTGTAAAATGCTGTAACATATTCGTTTTCATGCTTATTAAAGTTTATGAACAGAAATAAATGATTTGCTGTGAAGAAATGTACATGTCAAACAAATGATTAAAAAGCAATAATCAAATATCTGAAGTTCATAATAATATCAAAAATTCAAGTAAGTATTTAAAAAAAAAAAGAACAACGTATGAACTTGATCTTTACGAATTAAAACTTACACTAGTCTATTATTTAATATAGAAAAAAAAAAAAGGTTTGGATTAAGCTTGATCAATAGCGAAGGTATTTATATTTATTAATTGGTCATGACTTTTGGAACATTCTATATTTTCTATGAAAAAGAAGGGATTCATAATAGTTTGTTCTTTTTTTTGCCTTTAGTAATCTGTCTAAAACTTACTTAAGCATAGCTACATAATAATCATTTTCAAATATTAATTTGGTCATATTAATATAATTGTTTAAAGCTGATGGATGTTGTTTAATTAATTCATAGAATAATTGTTTTGATAATGTATTCTCAAGAAAAATCATTATCTATAAAATATAAATGATAAATTCAAATTAAAAATTTCAATAAATTATATTTACTGGAACAGTAATACTTGGTGTATTAAATGAAATAGCCATACGTAATAAAGATGCTTTTTTATCATAATCTCGAATATCTTCTAATTTAATACTCTAAAATAATAAGAATTTCTAAAATAATATAAATTAATTTTTTTTTTTCAAATAATATATTACTTTATTTTCTAGTAAATTTTTACAACGTATTTCCATTTCTCTATCATATTGTGTACTTCGATCTTTAACTGTTTGATCCGCTATAAACAAAAATCATATAATATATTAAAAAGAAAATCATTAATATATAACTTAAATACATACGATATTCTTCTGCATGTGGTAACCATTGAGCACTAGTATGAATATCATTTGATGATAGTACAGGTGGCGAACGACCGAATCGAGCAGCTAAAATAAATAAATAAATAAATAAAATAATTTTGTTTTTTATTTTTCTTGCTGAATTATCACCATGTTTCTTTCGAATGTTAAACCGTGAAGAATCCGGATTATATTCGGGAAGATTTTGTAATGAAACTGTGCCTTCATGTGAACAATGATGAACTCCTATGTCTCTATGATAAGAACTATCGGGTAAATCAATTAATGATGATGAAGAACCATGAAATATATTTGAATTTGAAAGATTAAAAGTTTGTTCAACTTTTTGACCAACTTTACGTAATAAATTATGAGGTTTTTTAAATGGTTTTGGACTTGGACTATTCATAATGATTAATTCATCTTTCGAACACTGACTTTTTCTTTAATAGATTGATGTTAGAACAAGCATTAAGTGTCAGTTGTTATATTTCGTTCTTTAGTTGTTCGTTTTTTTTTTTTTTTTATCGCATTCTTTTCATCAACAGAAAAAGGTTAGACAGAAGGGAGAAAAAGAAATATTCTCATGCATAGTTTTTGCTTACATTCAACGGAATGACCGATAGGACGAGATACTTGTGATGTAGGAATGGTAACGTTCGGTTGAATATTCGATGTTGTTTTTGTCGGTATCGGTGAATTATTTGTTATTATTTTTGTTGTTATCGATGAATTATTTGTTGTTGTTGAGGTTGTTGAACGATAACGAGCTGAAGTCACTCCTGTTGTATTTAGCGGTGGTGAAGAACGACTTGAATCAAGGATACGTTCCTAGAATATTAAAATTAGGACAAAAAATGCATTAGAAAATGTTATTTAAGATAAAAATAACGATTAGCAAAAACAGCAAAAAAGAAGTTAGTTCTCATAGAGTATGTCTTAGTATTTTATGAAAAAGAATACACCGTAACCGTGAGTAGACGAACAAACGAATATAATAACTTACGGTCAATGGATTGGAAAGATTTTTAAAACGCTACATTATATTTTTAAGATATAATTCGATTATAAACAGACATAGTAAAAATTGAAAATTATTGATTTTTATATAATAACTTACATCAAGTGTATTGTTGCCATCTGTATTGAATATTGCTTGTTGGTTAACTTTTTTTGTAACTGACGACGAATTCCAATAATCATCATCCATTTATGATTGTCTACACTTGTCTTAATAGTATTATTTTTCTTTTCTTTTTCTTTCTTTCACCTATTGTTTGTCTATGATTTAATCCGATGCGTTTATTTGTCCTAAACAATCTAAAACGGAATGACGATCTATTTTATTTTTATTATTATACATCCATATATATTTTGTCAAAATTGAAAAGTGTTCCTCTGCTTTTTCTTTTGTAATTGCCACAGCTTACAGCTTTCATTAAGCAAAAAATGAATTTAAAAAGTGAATGAGATCAATAAATGACTACAATATAAATGAGAGAGAGAGAGAAATAGAGAAAGAGAAAAAAGTGCATGACAATAACAACAATACAAGACAAATAATATCGAGAATATAATAGAATAATTTCACTGTTATGATAAAAATACGAAATTTTTATATTTATGATGGATTATTAATTTGTTTAATTATATTAAGTGCTTGTATAATAGCTTGTGGATCTTTTCGAGCACGTGATGCACAATTTTCTAATGTATCAGCTGCTTCATAACGTCCTTGTCTTCGATAAAGTAAACTAAGATTTTTCAATGTTGTTGTTACTGTTGGTGTATCAGCACGTATTGTTTTATACCAACCACCTTGTGCATCATATGGACCACCGCTTGTTGATGTTGTCATTGCTGTTGCTGTTAATAAATCTTGTGGTGATGATCCAAATTCTTTTTCATGTGCACGTGTTAAAACATCTTTATATAATTGTTCAGCATCTTTATATTTTTGTTGTTTAAGATAAGCTGATGCAAGATTATTTTTTGTTTTAGCAACATTTGGATCATCTGGACCCAAACTTTTTGTATATATATCAATTGCACGTTTATAATATGATTCAACTTCATCATATTTACTCTGATTTTGACAGAGTAATGCTAAATTATTTAATTGTTTAGCAACATCAGGATGTGATGTACCTAAACATTTTTCACGAATTTCAAGAGCACGTTTACAAAGTGGTTCTGCTTCTTTGAATTTATTACGTTTACCTATAAATAATAGAAATATAATTATTATTTATTTCGTATACGAATATAAGATATTATATACCATAGAGAACAGCTAAATTATTTAATGTTGCTGCTACAGCTGGATGATCAGGTCCAAGAGTTTTTTCTCGTATAGCTAATGCATCATTAAGTAATGCACTTGCTTCTTTAAATTTCGATTGATCTCGATAAACAAGTGCAAGTATATTTAGCATAGTAGCAACATCAGGATCTAAATTGAAAAAAAAAAAAAAACAATTCACTAAATTATTTTTAAGCAACTATTTGATGGAAATTAAATGATTCGAAAGCAATAGATTCGTTTCTTCGATGTACATGAAATGGCATAAAATATGTGCACCACATTGCATAGGCTTGTGTACGACAGCATCATCTATGTCTCCAGTGGCGTACGCAGAAATTTTTCAAGGGGGGGCCCAACTTCGTAAGGGGGGCCCGCCATGGCACAAAAAATTTTTTATCACGCGAAAATATTTTTTCCTGTACCCCCCTTCAGGACTTTTTCGTCTCAAGCGGGGGTGGGGGGCCTGCGTACGCCACTGTATGTCTCATAGGGAATAACTATTTTTGTTTCCAATGTAACTAGTCAAAAGAAGTCTTATGCATATAATTATAATAATTTCTGATATATAGATAAAAGTAATGCACTTAGACATATGAAAATCAATAAGATTTCGACTTAAAAATGGAATAAGAACAAAATCTTTGTAAAATATTCTTTAGCGTATAGAAATCGAATTTTAGTCATAATATAAGTCTATTCAATGGACATATGTCTTTTTTCAGCATCAAAATAAAAACAGAGTCAATTGTTAGTTTGAAAAATTATTTTCATAATAATGTTTAACTAGTTATTAAATGAAAATAAACTATGCAATAAATCCTTTCATCTATCATTTAAATTTCTTCGACTGCCAACAAATATTATATAGAACCGGAATTAGTAAATCATTAAATATAAACGAAAATTTTAAATATATCTTAAGAAACTTTCATTAGTGAATTCTTGAGATAAAAAATGTTACATATTTCAGTATACAAACAAAATGAAGATTTTTTTGACATATACTATATCATTCGATAGAGAATTACTCATTTATTACAACTATGACGATAAAAATAAAAAGGATAGAATTTTTCACAAGATCGTTCAGTGAAAGATTTTTAAAGAAAAAATTTCGAAACAACCTACAGATTTTCGTTGTCTTGTTTGAAAATTACATCATTTTGTTTCGAATTAGAGTTCAACATTTAACATCATATTAATAAAATCTTCATAGAACAAGTGTAGTTTTTTGAAAATATAAATTTCAAAAATACATCCACTAGATATTAGTTCTAAGAGTTTTGCTTCTATGAACAACAGTAGTAAATGTCTGGTAAAAACATTCTATTGGTACTCAATGTTTTGTTTTAAGTATTGGATTTGATAAGCATAGACTGACACTAATTTATAGATGTCAGCAGAACAGATGAAGTTGTAGTTAATATATATATATTAAAATTTTCTCATTTTTATCCAACAAAAAAAAACATACACTTAAAAGTTTTATAGAGCAGAAAACTTCTTATGAGATAAATATAAAAAAATAAAGTCTCTCAACAATGTTTGCATTACGCACAAAAAAAAGAAACGCTGTTATTACAATCCCTATAGAATTAAACATTGAAATACAATGCTGTTGTTGCTAATCACTGGAAGATTCTTTTAATCTATCTATTTTGGGATATATTTCTTTTACTTAATCTTCCACAAATACAATAAGAAGATAATTCATGTATATAATAATATTGTTCACGATCTGTGGAAGATTTCAAATTTTTCTGACTAAACTTCAACAATCGTTTTAGATTGTATTTCACAAAAAAAAAACACTAAGCAAGAATTCAAAGCATCTTATACTTTATGAACTAGTCATGCTATTCGTTTTTATTTTACTTACGTTGATGTCCTGAAGTCTTTTCAAGATCTTCAAGTGCTTGTCGACATAAAGGTACAGCAACTTCATAACGACCTTGTGAAGCATATTGTATAACTAAATTATGTAAAGTTTTTAATCTAGCTGGTATTTCATATCCAGTTGTTGATATAAATGATCCAGTAGCTGATTGTGATGGTGACATGATAAGATCAGCATAGGAACCAAATTTTCTTGAATTATCTTGTTGATTACCTGCACCAATATCTTGTTGATCACCATAAATATCTTGTCCACTATCATTATCATCAGATGGAAATAAATCATTGACAAGATCTTGTCCATTATTTGAACGATTTATATTATTTAGATTTGTACTTGATGTTGTTTGTGTATTTATATTTTCATTATCAATATCATATTGTTTAACATCTTTTAAAAATTTTAAATGTTCAATTTCAACAGCATGTGAAGCATTTATTTGTTCTGATTCATGTAATTTTTTTTGTGTTGATGCTAATTCATCACGTAGCCATGCATTTTCTTGACATAAACGTTTAACTTGTGTACGTAATTTATGTTTTTCAGCTTCTAAATTTTGTAAATGATTACCTAATTGCATCATAACTTGAGCTTCACCAATACCTAATAAATAAAAATTAATTATTTATTTATTTTGTTTTTTAATTTATTTACAAACCTAATTCAATCATATCCATTGATTTTCTAAGTAAACCAACTTTTTCTTCTAATTTATTTGTTTCTATAGGTGATAATTTATGCGTAGAATTAACAATATTTTCAAGCATTTTGCCATGTTCATTCTTGAGTGCATCAAGACCTTGAATAACAGATTTTGTTGATTGAAGTATATCGTCTTGACTCATTTTATATACAGAATATTTACTTGCAATTCAATAATATACATAAATATCTACATAAAAATATTCTGCAAAAGAAAAAATAACAAAGTGTACACATATACGTATATATAATAGAAATATGATAATATCAATAAATATCTTTTACACAGTAAGTAGTCTATACTGTGTGTTATTCTATAATTTGTCGAATAATGTAAGTATTATTGAGCTTTTTTCTTCCTTCATAGAGTGTAGACAAACGAGAGTATTTGTATATGGGAGAAACAAAAGAAGAGAAATGACTTTTTTTTTTTCTCAATAATATACTTTGTTCTTTTTTTTCTCGCGGTGGTAACAGCTGGAAGAATCATCATCAACTCAATAGTAACGACAAGAGAAAACAGGAAGTATTTCATTCATTTAAGAGAAAAATCGATCATAGAAAACAAAAGTTAAAAATATTTCTATAGATATATATTGACATATAAATTTCTGACGAATGAAACACATACGAAGTATATATCTATGACAGTTTATGTATCTTTTACAAGTACACTTTGCATGACAACCAAAATGACCTTTTCCCTAATTGTCAATGTCTTTATTATTTCGAGGCAAATCAAAGACAATGGCTACAAGGAATGAGAGATAAAGAGATTAATGCAAATGTCTGTTTTGTTTTGTTTATTTTTGAAAAAGAATGTTGATGGATATAAAAAGGGCACTAATCAAGAATATTTGACATTACCTTATGTTATCATAATAATATAATGATTTGTTAGCATTATCTTCGAACAAGAATTAATATAAGATACAGGTGTATATGTTCGAACAAATCTGATAAATGTAGTAGTCAATCATATTAAAGGTCAAGGGCTTATATCTTACTTTATCATAAATGTTTAATTATATTTAATAGAAAAAAACAAGTAAATACAAATAAAACTAAATATTACTCATCATGAATATCAAAAGAGAAGAACAGAACACAACACATATGACTATCTGTCAAAAAAAAAAAAAGAAAAAAAAATGTACAAAAAAATTTTTCTTTTATGTTTAGTCTCTATTTCGAATATGATGATTCATTATTATAATCCAATAATAAATAAATAAATTATATTTCATAAAATATTCAATAGATTTTCTTAATTATTTTTCATCTTAAATTTCTTTTAAAATAAATTATAAAGACGAAGAAATAAATATTTATAGATGGCGATAGATAATTATAATCGATGATTGGTTTTGAATAATGCCATCCATCGCAACAACAAAGTTAAATCATTTGCCAAAGATCTAAAAGAAGAAAATGATCTACGGACCAGATGCATCACAATGTCCGATAAAAAAGCAAGTTTTAAATGCTGGTAAAGAACCCCTCATTGATTTTGTTGATGAAATGAAGGTTTGACATTAAGAAGAAAAAAAAAAATACAAACTAATATATTTAATTATTTGTCAGATATTCTTTCATTTCTTAACAACAACTCAAGATGGAACAGTAATTGATGATTCTCGTAAATATAAAAAACCAATGGAAATAACTTTAGGTCATAAATTTAAACTTGATTGTTGGGAAACATGTTTAAAAACAATGCGTCTAGGTGAAATAGCAAAATTTTCTGTTGATAAAGACGTATGAAATTTCTTTTTATTTTACTCTGATGAAAAAAAGAATGTTTTTTTTTCTTTCTTCTTAATTAGCTTGTAGATGTTTATCCAGCTGTAGCCAAACAAATTCGAGATTATTATAAAAATCAAATGAAAGAACATAAACATGATGATGATCATGAAAGTCATCATTGTTGTGGTTTTATGGCGCTTGAACACGGTCTTGGTCATGAAGATCTTGATAAATTAATGCGACATCCTGAATCACTCGATTTTACATTTGGTATGTAAATCAGTTTATTCTATCTTTCATTTTACATAAAAGAACTTTATAAGAATTAACAAAAAAGATGCAATCAAAACTCTTATACTATGTGAGAGATAATTTGTTATCTAGAGTAATGTTCGTTGTTGTGAGAGTGCAAAGTGTCCTAAAAGCTTCGCGAAAACTTTACGTAGATAACGGTTCATATCGTTTAATTGTCTTTTCTTTTATAATATGATAGTATATTTGTTTAGGTTTTAATTTGTTTTACAACAAATATCTTAGAAAAAATTACAATAATCTGAGCACTTGATAGCAGCATATTTTCATTGGTATCATGAACTTCGTCGATGTTCTCTTCTGTAATTCTTCAGGATCTTTCAGATTGTTATTTATTTACTATTAAACTGATTTCGCCAAAGCAATGAAAAGCAACTCTAGTACAGTCTATGTCTGATATTGATATGCCAAATGCGACTTAATGGTAGATAATTCAAATTTGATCATTAATAAAACTATTTCTATTGTTATATATATATAAGTAAAGATATTTATCTGAAGATATATTGAGCAAAATTTCAAGCAACATACTGTAATATTATTATAATAAAAAAGATCTCTAGTCAAGAAATACGGACAGGCGAACTTAGAAAAATGATATGAAGCTGTAAGAAGGAATCTAATGGTCGAATATAATCGGAAATAGAAAAATTCAAGCAGTAAATTTCTACTTCCGAGCTCCTATCAATTTTCCGACCCGAAATAACATTATTTCTGTTAGGAAATTCACGTATCCGAGTGCTGGAATCATTGACCTGAGATATGAACTGTTTGAACTGCTTAGGACTCATTCACATATATTTTTGGAGCGACTTTTCGGTATCCTTTAAATATTTTATGTTATCTCATAGCAGTTATTTGAAAACAACCTTTTTGTAATTACAATAAGCTAGTCATGTGGAACTCATATGTATGAAGTCTGACCTATGCGTCGTGGATTCTTTTCTTAACTTAGTTGTGATATTCTACTAAAGTTACATCACTGTTAACGAGAAAACATTTTCGGACACTCGCTCGCCTTCAAGTCGGGATTTTGATACGTCTCATAGACCTTAGTGAACTATGTCTACCGTAAAGAGGGTTTATGTTCACAGCTTGTTTTCAGTGGATGTCAGTTGTAAGTATCCAAATTTATAGCAAAACACTATTGTCGAATTTTAACCTGAAACTTAATTCATATTCAGATATTAATTANATGAAAAGCAACTCTAGTACAGTCTATGTCTGATATTGATATGCCAAATGCGACTTAATGGTAGATAATTCAAATTTGATCATTAATAAAACTATTTCTATTGTTATATATATATAAGTAAAGATATTTATCTGAAGATATATTGAGCAAAATTTCAAGCAACATACTGTAATATTATTAAAATAAAAAAGATCTCTAGTCAAGAAATACGGACAGGCGAACTTAGAAAAATGATATGAAGCTGTAAGAAGGAATCTAGTGGTCGAATATAATCGAAAATAGAACAATTCAAGCAGTAAATTTCTACTTCCGAGCTCCTATCAATTTTCCGACCCGAAATAACATTATTTCTGTTAGGAAATTGTAGGAAATTCACGTATCCGAGTGCTGGAATCATTGACCTGAGATATGAACTGTTTGAACTGCTTAGGACTCATTCACATATATTTTTGGAACGACTTTTCGGTATCCTTTAAATAGTTTATGTTATCTCATAGCAGTTATTTGAAAACAACCTTTTTGTAATTACAATAAGCTAGTCATGTGAAACTCATATGTATGAAGTCTGACCTATGCGTCGTGGATTCTTTTCTTAACTTAGTTGTGATATTCTACTAAAGTTACATCACTGTTAACGAGGAAACATTTTCGGACACTCGTTCGCCTTCAAGTCGGGATTTTGATACGTCTCATAGACCTTAGTGAACTATGTCTACCGTAAAGAGGGTTTATGTCCACAGCTTGTTTTCAGTGGATGTCAGTTGTAAGTATCCAAATTTATAGCAAAACACTATTGTCGAATTTTAACCTGAAACTTAATTCATATTCAGATATTAATTAGATTAATTTGCATTGAAAATTTCAGGAGTTTTGAACTAAGCCTGTTCGAGATATGAAGATTTCAAAAACTACATGCTGTCTATACTGTCTATGAAAAAGATCCTATACCTTAGAAGTTCTATAAATGGAAGAAGTTTAGTCCGAAATCTTAAGATATTTTTTATTCAAGCTGATCTAATTGATGTCTTTATGTGAGTAAAGTTTAAAATCTAAATTCAAGAATATTCTCTTAAAATATTCGATCTCTTTTTATAGTCGAAAAAGTTTACTAAATTCTACATGATGCATTAAGTGTTGACTTAAAAACAAAACGGATATCTCATAATATTTGCTCATATCATAGAACGAAATGATTTTTTAAGACATTAATACTTATTTAGTTCATACAATTGTATTCACAGCATTATTATATAATGTCATGAAGTATACACTTTTATATTTGTCCTATAATGCCGTTTGAAATATTTTAAGTTTGACATGTTTCTATAAATATTTAATAAATACCTTTAGAATTGATTAAAGTTTTACGTCCAGGTGAATTTGAAAAGGACACATATTTATTAAATGATGAAGAAAAACAACGTCAAATACCTGAATTAAAATTAGCTGGAAATAATTTATATAATGCTGGTAAATATGAAGAAGCATCTAATAAATATGGACAAGCTTTACAATTTTTTGAAGATCTTATGCTCAAGTAAATTTTTAAGAAAAAAAAAATATATCGTCATGAATTTGTTTTTTTTTTTTCTTTAATAGAGAAAAACCAAATGATGTTGAATGGCGTCAATTAGATTTACAACGTCGTCCATTATTACTCAATTTTGTTCAGTGTAAACTTAAATTAGGTGATTTTTATTCAGCTATTGAACATGCAACAACAATACTTGATAGTGATCCAACAAATATAAAAGCTCGTTATCGTCGTGCTAAAGGTCATGCAAGTGTATGGAATATTGAAGAAGCAAAAAATGATTATAAATATCTTCTTTCAAATATTAAAGATGATGATAATCTTTGTACATTAGTTCAATGTGAATTACAACAATT